TATAGGGCTGTAGTGCCATAGGGGAATCGGGCTAAGCTATAGGGTTAGAGGGCTATAAGGCTGTAGGGCTTTGGGGCTATAGGGCCACGGGGTTGCAGGACTATAGGGCTATAGGTACAGGGCTATAGGGCTTTAGGCCTACAGGGCTATAGGGCTATGGGGCTATAGGGCTCTGGGGATATATGGGCTATATTGGGCTATGGGGCTATAAAGCTATAGGGCTACAGGGCTATAGAGCTGTAGTCTATAGGGCTATAGGGATATATGGACTATAGGGCTATGGGGCTATAGGGATATATGGGCTATAGGGCTATTGGGCTGTAGGTCTATATGGCTATAGGGCTGTAGGGCGATATAGAGCACCTGGGCACCCCTGGGCACCTCCGGGCACCCCCGGGCACGCCCGGGCACCCCTTCGCACACTGGCACTCCAGGGCACCCGGGCACCCGGGCGTGCAATCGGCGGCAAACCTAACCTAACCATATGAATCCGCTAGGACCCCTACAGAGGCAAGCTCTGATGGTGGAACCTGCAACATCGCAGAAGGCCACGACCGGAGCCCCAGACCCTCCGCTCCGCTCCAAGGCGGCTCCAAGTGACCAAAGAGCTTCCCAAGATTTCTCCCAAGAGGCCCCCCAACAGTGCCCAACAGGCTCCCAAGAGAGCCCCATGAAGGGCTCCAGAGAGACAGCGTCGTCGTAATCGCCGCCGCCGCCGCCGCCGCCGCCGCCGCCGTCGTCGTCGTCGTCGTCGTCGTCGTCGTCGTCGTCATCGTCGTCGTCGTCGCCCTTCCGGGTCGGCGGCGCTGGCCGCAAGGCCTCTGCAATCATGACTGGAGCCCTCGACCCTTCTTTCTGCGGCATTTTTCCGGATCGATGCATGGGAGCCACGGGGCCCGAAACCTGGCGAAGACGTCCAGTGTGAAACAAAAATTAAACGCCAGGATGTCAGGGTCGGCACAACCGTCTAATTCCCAACCATCCTGTGGTGTTGGGTCCTCGTTTTGAGGAGACAGCGCCCCGCGTCCCACCTCCTCCGCTCCACCGAAGGTCCCAGTGGCACAGCCCGCATGCGGTTCCCCCACCCAGGGCAGCGTTTCGTGGCCCCATAGGGAGCTCCACCGAAGGTCCCAGTGGCACAGCCCGCATGCGGTTCCCCCACCCAGGGCAGCGTTTCGTGGCCCCATAGGGAGCTCCACCGAAGGTCCCAGTGGCACAGCCCGCATGCGGTTCCCCCACCCAGGGCAGCGTTTCGTAGCCCCATAGGGAGCTCCACCGAAGGCCCCAGTTGCCGCATGCGGTTCCCCCACCCAGGGCAGCGTTTCGTGGCCCCATAGGGAGCTCCACCGAAGGTCCCAGTGGGGGTGCCCGCATGCGGTTCCCCCACCCAGGGCAGCGTTTCGTGGCCCCATAGGGAGCTCCACCGAAGGTCCCAGTGGCACAGCCCGCATGCGGTTCCCCCACCCAGGGCAGCGTTTCGTGGCCCCATAGGGAGCTCCACCTAAGGCCCCAGTCGCGCAGTTCGCATGCGCCCCCCCTCCCCCCCCCCACCCAGGGCAGCGTTTCGTGGTCCCATAGGTAGCTCCCCCGAAGGTCCCAGTGGCGCAGTTCGCATGCGTCCAGTACTGCGCTTCGTGGCCCCATAGGGAGCTCCACCGAAGGTCCCAGTGGCGCAGTTCGCATGCGTCCTCCCCACACCCAGTACAGCGCTTCGTGGCCCCATAGGGAGCTCCACCGAAGGTCCCAGTGGCGCAGTTCGCATGCGTCCCCCCCACCCAGTACAGCGTTTCGTGGCCCCATAGGGGGCTTCCCCGAATGCGATACCCACAACTGCATATGGTTGGGTCTTTCGCCAGGCTAATTTTTTTCGGGTCCCAGCTCGGCTCTCCGGCGGCCAGTCGGGAAGATCTGGGCACCCCCGGAACGCCCTCGGCGCGGCGCAGCTGCTGGAAAGCATCCCGAGGCTCGAAAGCCGCCGAGACCCGACGAAGACGCCCGAAACCCTCGAACCTTGAATCCTCGCACCCTCGCACCCTCGAAGCCTCGCACCTTCGCACCCTCGAACCCTCGCACCCTCGAACCCTCGCACCCTCGCACCCCCGCACCCTCGCGCACCCTCGAAGCCTCGCAGCCTCGCACCTTCGAACCCTCGAACCTTCAAAATCTCGATCCTCGAACCTCGAGATCAGCGAAGGCCCAGCGGCGGCTGCGCGGACCGCGCGAGCCTCGGTGATCCAGGTGTCCGGCTGCGCCTCGGCGCGCCGTCGGCCGGCCGACGGCGCTGCCGCCGCCGTGGGCCGCCGTCTCGCGGGGCGACGTCGGCCGTTGGTGGTCCTAGACCTCCAACGTGTGGACAATCACAAGCACGCTGGAGGTTTCGTCCTCCTCCTCCTCATCATCACCATGATCATTACCAGCATCACCACCATCATTACCATCATCATCACCATCACCATCACGATCACGATCACGATCATGATCATGATCATCACCACCACCACCATCATCACCACCACCACCATCGATATCATCATCAATTTCATTATTACCATCGCCTCCATCATCTTCATGATCATCATCACCATCATCACTGCCATGACCGTCATGCTCAGCACCATCATCATCATCATCATCATCATCATCATCACCATCACCATCACCATCACCATCACCACCACCACCACCACCATCATTTCCACCATCATCATCGCCATCACCATCACCATCACATTCATCATCACCACCTCCAACATCATCATCATCATCATCATCATCATCATCATCATCATCATCATCATCATCATCATCATCAACCGCATCACCATCACCACTAACAGCAGCATCATCACCATCAACATCATCAACATCAGCATCACAACTACCAGACCTCTAACGTTTTGGCAACCCTTTACGTCGCAGCGCGGCAGAGGCGATCCGCACGGCCGCTCGAGTCGTCGGGGACAACGCATCGCAACCACAAGACGGACATGTTTCGTTGTCTTCGGCCCCGGGGGGCCCTCGCATGTCCCCGGGACCGTCAAGCAACGGTCTGGGACGACAAACTGGTCCCAGGGAAGTGGTGCAGAGCTCCTGGGACGCCGTATCGACAAAATTGAAAACGTCGGACGTCTGGGGTCCGCCTCGCCGATCCTGGGCGAGGTCCATCGTAGGCCGAGGATTTGGCGGATAGACAGCTCTGAGATCCTGGCGTGGCCTTTTCTTCCGCAACGGGCGATTCTGCCTCTTGTCCGGCCTCAGCACCCTTAGAGATCAATCTGGCTCGAAAAACTGCCGCATCAAGATGGGGTACAGGGCTCCAGTCGTGATTTTTGCTGCTATGTTGAAATTCGCTTGCGCCGTCGTACCTCAGGGACTGGTATAAGATGTTAGCCAGCGTGGACCCCAGGCAGTGACTTCTTGTAGTCTATGCTGTGCAACCTAGGTGGTGCAACCAAAACACAGCCAAAGTTCAGCAAAACAACGGTTAGGTCCAGCCCTGGTTCGCAGAATATCGCCCCGTCGCCGCCCGAAGCCGCCCGTGGGCGCCTTGTGGGCGCCGTGCGCGCCAGCTTTCGGTCGGGCATGGCCTTCGACAGGCGGATTCTGGAAGACAAATGAAGCAGGGCCAAAGCATACGGTAGTCTGGCAAAAAAACAGTCGAAGCATCGTCCCCAGACTGCTTTTTTGACTGCTCCTGAGCACACGTCGTTCCCTCGTGGCCAGGAAGGAGGCCCAGGATAGAACAAGTAGAAACGAAAGGATCTAGGACCCCCCAGGAAACCAAAGAACTTTCAAAAACATCGAAATTAACAGCGAGTGCGCCTCCTGCAGAGGGGCCTGCCCCGACGCATAGCGCCAGCGCCGGTCTCCGGGCTTTCTCCTCCGACCGCCGCTCGTGGCCGCCCGTGTGCGGGCCCCAAGGAAGAATCCGCGCCACCACCGCGTCGATTCCCCCTCCCTCCTCCACCCTCCTCCTCCTCTCCTCCCTCCTCTACCCTACTCCTCCTCCTCCTCCTCCTCCTCCTCCTCCTCCTCCTCCTCCACCTCCTCCTCCGCCCCCTCCTCCTCCTCCCTCTCCTCCTCCCTCCTCTACCCTCGTCGTCCTCTCGCTCCTGGGAGGGGGAGGGGGCGAGGGAGAGGTGGTGGTGGTGGTGCATGCTTCTGGGCCCCGTGCCGTGGGCGCCTCGTGGGCACGCAGCTCGCACCGCGCACAGCTTTTGCACCGCGCGGCTTGCGCCACGCACGCGTGCTGCACGACCTGGCCTCCGCCACACAGCTGGCACCACGGAGACGGCACCAGGCAGCTTGCGCCAGAGGGGGAAAACACACCTACCTCGCTTTTGACCACCCTCGCTTCCGAGGGATACCAAAGATGCCAAACTACGGCCTGTACTGGTCAGGCCGCTTGACGAGGAGGCGCGTGGTATGACTTCGTTTTGCCTGGAAGCGAAAGCGGGGTAGGTAATTCACGCTCTGACACCGCCTGACACCACCTAGCTTCCAGCCAGTCGCTTCCCCAGTGCTGCGTGCGCCGCGCAGCCTGCACAACCAGAGTGCAGGAGCCCGCTGTTTGGGGCCCACGCTCGCCGGCAACACTGCTCTTGTGCCTGCCCTCTTCGGCTTCTGGGGGTCGCTCGCGGCATCCAGGATCTCCGCAGGACAGTTGGGGGAGAACAGCGGGTCCTCTGGCAGGGGTGGAGAGGTCCGAGGCCCGCGCAAATCGGCGCGCCAGGGGTCGGGGCCTCAGCCGAGGCCCAGAGCGAGCCCCACCCGAGTGCGACAAAGCCTTTTCTCCCCAACGGCCGCTAATTTCGATGTCCGAAATGGACGGGCAAACTCGGTTCGATACCCAACAAGAAATGCCGCCCAAAACTGACAGCGGCCGCTGTTCGGCAGGCGGCTTTCTGTTTCAAATGGACAACGTCCGCGGCGACGCCGACAACGAATCCCGCTGTCGGTTTTTGTCTTCATTCTTTCATTCAGTACCCATGTCGATTATACCCGGCCCAGGGAGGCACTTTTTGCAGACAGTTTTTTTGCCGACGTTCGTCACGTGACCACGCCCCATCCGCTCATACTGTCTGTCTCACCGTCGGCTGCGCTGGGCGCCTGCCCCTGTGAGCATCGTCTCACCGATCCCCACCCCCACCGTCGTGGCCTGGGCCCCACTGGCCGATTTACCCCCCTGGAGGGGGATTAGGAGGAGGAGGAAGAGGAGGAGGAGGAGGAGGAGGAAGAGGAGGAGGAGGAGGAGGAGGAGGAGGAGGGAGGAGGAGGAGGAGGAGGAGGAGGAGGAGGAGGAGAGGAGCGGAGGGAGGAGGAGGAGGAGGAGGAGGAGGGAGGAGGAGGAGGAGGGAGGAGGAGGAGGAGGAGGAGGAGGAGGATCTAGGCTGCAGTGGTGGGGCGGTGGGGGTCGGGCTGGGGAGGGGCGTGGGGACGGGGATCGGTTCGAGGATGTCGCCTGCGCCTGCCCCCCTGGGGAGCCGCCGCCGTCGCCGCGCCAGCTCTGCCACGCGCCAGCCCCTGCCGCGCCCCCGCCCTTGCCGCCCTTCTTGCCCTTGTTGAAGGGATAGTAGGGCACGGCGCCCTCGAAGTCGGCCGGGGGGCCTGCGCTCGCCCTCCCCGGGGCGCCCGTGTCGCCCTGCCACGCCGCCGGCGCCTCGCGCCCGCTGCCCTGCGAGGCCCACCCCTCGCTCTCGACGGCGGGGGCCGCGACCGCCGGCGATGGCATCTTCGGCCTGGTCACCACGAAGGATGCCGCCGGCGCCGGCTGCGCCGCGCTCCAGGGCTGCGTCGCGCCCGCGGGCGCCACGCAGCCGGCGCGCTCCAAAATTGAGTCGATTTCGAGCATCTGCGTGGCAATGCCGAGGACTGGGTCTGCAAAGGCCGGCGGCCCGGCGCCAGCGCTGTCGCCCTCCTGGCCCGCCGTGGGCTTCCACGCGGCGGCTTCCTGCGCTGCGGCCCCGTCGCTGGCTGTGGGATCGGATCTCTGCGCTTCGGCGCCACCGCCCGGCGCCGCCGCTTGGCTCTCTGGAGGTTGCGTCTGGTTCGCCTCTGGCTCCGCCCAGTTCTCCCACTGCTTGTCCCAAGCGGCGCCGCCAGCGCCAGCCTGCCCCCAATCGCGCCACTGCTTGCCGCCTGCGGACCCCTTGGCGGCGCCGCCAGCGCCAGCCTGACCCCAATCGCGCCACTGCTTGCCGCCTGCGGACCCTTTGGCGGCGCCGCCACTCTTCTGAGAGCCGCTCTGCTCACCCTGAGATCTAGCGCCCCAGCCCTTCCAGTCGCTCCAGCCTTTCCAATCTTTCTGTGCTGCAGCCGTGCTGGACGTTCTGCCAGATGCCGGTTGCGATTCTGCCCCCCACGAACCGCTCCAGTCGCTCTGTGCCCCAGTCGGCGCTGTTGCTGCTGCAGCCTCTCCGTCTGACGCCGGCTGAGACTCTGCTGCAGAAGACTTGTCCCAGCTGCTCCAACCGTTCCAGCCCGCTGCTTGCGACGGAGACGGCTGCGGCTGCGGCGGTGCCGCTGCCGGCGGCCGCTGAGGTGTCAGCAGCTTGCCTGGCCGCGGCGGGGATGCCACCTCTGTTGGCGGCGGCTGCACGGGGGGGCGCGTCGCTGGCGGCTGCAGCGGCGGGCGCGTCCCTGCTGGCGGCCGCGCCGGGGGGTGCATCGACACTGGCGCCTGCGGCGCGGCAGGCTGAGTTGCGGCCGCCCCCGTCGGCGAGGCCGCTGCCGGGGGTGGAGGCGCTGCCGCCGCTCCTGGTGGCGCGGCGCTCGCGCCGGCATCCGGCTCCCTCGAGGGCGCGGGCGGCTCGGTGTCCCAGGAGTCCCAGGCCTCCCACGTCTCGGGCGCCGGCGCCGCCTCGGCGGCTGCCGCCTCCGTCGGAGGCTGCTGGCCGCTTGTGGGCTCGCCGGCCCCCGCGGCGGCCCGCAGGGGTGGCGGTGCTGCCCCACGTTCGAGGTCGGGCCACTTGACGGTCAGGCTGCGCCCCTCGAGCTGGGCCCCCTTGAGCTGTGCTTCGGCGCGCCCCGTCGTCTCGAGGTCGTTGAATTCGCAGAAGGCCGTGACGGCGGCGTTCGCCTTGTTGACCCCGTTCTTGCCGAAGAACTTGACCGACTTCGCCGCCCCCGCAGGGCCGAGCAACTGCAGGAGCTTCTCCTCGTCCACGTCGCCGGGCAGATTCTTGATGAACAGGGCCGCAGCCTTGCCAGCGTAGGGGGCCCGCAGCGGCGGCTCAGCCTGCGTGCTGCCCTCTCGAGTTGGCTCAAACGCGCGTCAATCTTGGCAGATCCAAGAGACACCGACACCGCGACACTGCGTTGGGCCGCGCATCAAGAAACTTGTTTGCCGTCGGGATACCCTGTGTTTCCTCACTTTGGGCGCTGCGCGGTGGCCATTTCGAGAAGGACCCCGCCGTGCTGACGAGGGCTACCCAGGACGAGCAGGTATCGGTACCTTCTTCTTCCCCGAAGTACAAATCTCAGACGTCCGCGGACGGCGTCTCCTTCAGCACCGCGCCCCCTTCCCGCACCGCACCCCTCGGTCTGCGAGCGAGGCCCGCTGGGGACGGCGCCGAAGGCGCCGACCCCGCCAGCGCCAGCAAAGAAACCGTCCGCGGGCGTCCGCAATTTATGATGGCAAGCGGCTCGGAAAAAATATATAAAAACATGAACCCAGACCCCCTCGCTCGACGAACAATTCTTGACGGACAATTCTTACGATCTCCCGCCTCTGGGGGCCCTCACCGGGACCCGGGACAGTCAAAAACGGCTCAGGACGAAAACCTGGTCCCAAGGAACAGGTGCAGACCTCCAGGGTTCCACTTCATGAGCAAAAGCATGACGTCGGGGGTCTGGGAAGTAGTAGGGAGGCGGCTCGAATGGACTGGGCTTCGGCCCGGTCGTGTCTGGGAAATAACTCGGGAGGCGGCTCGAATAGACTGGGTTTCGGCCCACCCCCGACAGGGGAAACGGAATCATGGCCGACCGTTTAAGCAGGACTGCAGCAACTGTATCTTGAGGCCTGGGAATCCCTGAGCACCTACCTTTGCAGCGAAAGATTTGGGAAAGATTTGGGATTTGGGAAAGCGAAAGATTTGGGATTTGGCAAAGTGAAGATTTGGGAAAGCGAAAGATCTGGGAAAGCGAAAGATTCGTACCTTTCTAGGAACGGCCTGTGCAGCGAAAGATTTGGGATACGGTCCGCTCGGGCTTCCACGGGGGATCGACCATCCCTGGGCCCCTCCGCTCGGTGATCCTCTGTCGCTCCTCGCGCGTCGAGGCGCCACGGGGGCCTCAAGGGGGCCTCGCTCCGAACAGGAAGGCTCCATCTGGAAAAACGCGGAGGCGACGGAGAGGGGGGCGTCCAAGAGGGGAGGGGGCGCAACTCATGGCTGGCGGCACGTGCGCGGCCCAAGGGGGGGGGGGGCCAGGGGACGTGTGGAAGCAAGGCGAGGCGCCATGCAATCTCGGGAGATCTCATGGCCCACGCCATGAGATCCCCCCCCCCCCAGTCCTCACCCCCCGCTTGGCCGCCCCCGAACAACTTTGATGCTGCATCTGCCCTAGCTCGGGAGGCGTGCCCGGGATCTCCCAGGAGGCCCCAAAGGGCCTCCAGACCCCACCCCCGCGAGGCCCAGAGGGCCCCTTTTGGCTCCAGAGTGGCGCGAAATAGTGAAGGGGCCCAGAGACATACAAAGAACTACACACACAAATCCCAGGATTCCCCATAATTCTCCCATATTTTTCGGATTTTCGTCTTCCCCTCCACGTCCAATATCTTCTAGGGAATCGACGATTCATTGTGTCCGCGTGCTTTGCCCCTCCTGAAATAAGCTTGCGACCGCTTGAGACAGGATCGCCTCTGGCAACCTCCCCCGGCCCCCGAGGTCTTGATCTTTTCAGTGCGGGGCCCCCGGAGCTCTGGGCCACTGCCCGGACCGGCTTCTCGTCCCCGAGAGCACTTTTCGACGGCACCACCGGGGCCCAGCGAGGGCTCCCCGACGCCGGGGACAACGACACAGCTCCGCCCTCATGTGTTCCATCGGCCTCAAGCGAGGGGGGGCAGTGAGAGGGGGCGGGCCTTCTCAGAAGGCTCGGATGTCGCCTGGCATTGTGACGCGTTTTCTAAGCCTTCCCCGAAGACGCAACAAACTTCTAGGAAGGCCGGAGGGCTTCTGAGGAGGCCCGCGGCCTTCTGGGAAAGGCCTTCTCCTTCTCATTTCCCCCGCTCGCTCGCCGTCGACTCAACACGTTAGACCCAGACGCACGACGTCGTCGACCCCCAGAAGGATGCTGCTCCTTAGAAGGCGCTGGCCTGACACCTGCAGATACGGCCTGCGCCTCCTGAGAAGCAGGGGTGCTTCTAAGAAGCCCTCCCCCCTCCCCCCACCCCCCTCTGCGGAGGAGGAGGAGGAGGAGGAGGAGGAGGAGGAGGAGGAGGAGGAGGAGGAGGGGAGGAGGAGGAGGAGGAGAGGAGGAGGAGGAGGAGGAGGAGGAGGAGGAGGGAGGAGGAGGAGGAGGGAGGAGGAGCTGGGGAGGTCCGCATCCGCTCTCGTCGCCCCCCGAGCCTCCGCCGGCGCGGCCGCCGCCGCGCCCCCCGCGGAGCCCTGCTGCCCCGGCGGCGGCGGAGGCGGCAGCGCGGCCTCGCTGCTGGCGAGCGGCTGCTTGGGCGGCCCCGGTGGCGGTGGCGGCGCCTGCTGCGGCTGGGCCTTCGAGGCGTTTTTTTAGTGCTTGTTGTTGTTGTTGCTGTTGCTGTTGCTGTTGCTGTTGCTGTTGTTGTTGTTGTTGAATATTATTACTTCTAAAGAATAATTATTGTTGGGCCCCCTGGTGCACGCCCCCCCCGCCGCGCCTAGGCCGCAGCCACGTTTTCATCATTTTCGTGAGGAAGCCTCAGGTAAAACGATGTGATCCAGATCCGGTTGTTTTGTTGTAATCCGCTTTCCCTTGCAAAAAACACTATAAAATGACATTTCTTGTTCTAATATAATCAAATTTCAAGAATCCCTTGCAAAAAATAAGGTAAAGTGGACATTCGCGCGCGCAAGACGAAATCCTTCCAAAACCTTAGTGTTCGTAGCGATTTTAACATAAAAACATCAAAAAACCAATGGTTTTTCAACAAAAAAATTGTCAAAATTCATCCCGCGCGCTCTTGCGGATTCGTAGGAAACCCAACACTTTTTAAACATTTCTGTCAAACGGGCTTTTGCGAGCAACTTTTTCGAACTTCTGCAACAACGGTTGCGCACCTGCCAGGGCCATCATCCCTGTCAAATAATACCATGCGGGACACATTCGTTTTTTCTTCGCGCGCGCACGCCGTCGTCGTCGGCCGCGGGGCCCTGAATAGTAGCCACGGTCGTCCGCATGCCACGAAGTGAAGTGTCCGAACGTCATAGGGCGGGAAGCTGGGTGTGGGTGGTGGCGAAGAGTCGTTTGGAAATTTGGTAGAGCTTGAACCGGCCCCCCCACAAAGTGGGGGTATTGCCCGCCTCCTATGAAAACCCTGGCACTGGTGAGAACGGAGTGTCCCCACGTGCTAGTAATTGTTGTTGTTGTTGTTGTTGTTGTTGTTGTTGTTGTTGTTGTTGTTGTTGTTGTTGTTGTTGTTGTTGTTGTTGTTGACTAAGCCTATTTTTATCCTTATGACCAACATTAGGCTCGGGCAACTTTACTTGCATGCATCGGGTGTCGGTAGAAGTGTCCCTGGCCCAGGTGCCTCCAGGACTTCCGAGGCCCTCACGGCCTCCAGAGCACCCCTCACGAGGCCCAGAGGGCACCAGGAACACCTTGGGCCAGGGGAAGCTTTAGCAACCCCCGAATGGAAGGGGGCGGGGGGGGCGTGGCGAGGCCCAAAAGGAAATCATACCTTCCCGCAAATCGGGACTCGCTTGCACGCCTTTTCGGCCCAGCGCTGCTTGAAACGGCAGCGGAGTGTGGGGGGGAATGCCATGCGAGCCAACTTGCCTGAGTCTGAAGACAAACAGCTTCCTAGAGGAGGAAGGACGGAGGGGGGGTCCAGACCTCTGGGGGCCCATCTGATTCGGACGTCCTCTGAGGACGTCCGACTCAGATCTCATCGGATCGCGACGTCGGATCGCATCGGATCGGAAACGGATCGGATCGCCAGCGGAACTCAGGAGGGGAAAAAACACACAGACACAATTAATCGTCGATTCCCCAGAAAATATGGGAAAATATTGGAATTGGGGGGGAAGACAAAACCCCAGAAAATATAGGAAAATATGGGGACTATTTTTATTTGTGTGTATTTATTTGTGTGTCCTAATTTCCCTTTAGGAACGTCCCGACTCGGAGCGACCTCGGATCGCCACGCCCCGCCCCGACGGGCCCCGACCGGTGCCGGTGCATCGAGGCGCATCGGATGGGATCGAGGGCGGCCCGGGGAGGCGGAGGGCGGGGGAGTGGGGCAGAAGAGGACGGGGTATAGGCGGGGCAGAGGAGAGGGAGGGACGCGGGAGGAAGGCGTGTGGGAGGGATGGGGAGGAGGGATCAGGAGGAGGAGGAGGAGGGCGGAGGGGAAGGCACGGGACGAGGAGGGCGGGAGGAGGGCCGAGGAGGGGAGGAGTGAGATGGAGGAGGAACATGGCACATCAGAGTCAGGAGGAGTAGGGCAATAATCGAAGGCAAGGAGGATAGAAGAACTTATCTGTTGTCATACTTGCACTCACGCTCACTCGTGGTAGACAACAACTCGTTCTTCAAATGCAAGATGGAAGTCTGTTCGGCGCACGGAATAACCATGCCAAACATACGCGTGTGCCTGTGGGACCACCTTTTGGGTGATAGAAGGAGTTTCGGGGGATGGGTGCAACTTTCGGTTTGTGATTGGCGTCATATCGGATCCATGGTAGATCTCACGATCTCAATTTCGAATGTTGTGGGGGTGATACCGAGGTGAAACGTACAGCGCCTCTAACTGAGAAATCGTTTCGTTTCGTTCGGGCGGTGCGTGCGGGCTGGGCAAAGCTGCGCGAGTTTCTACTTTTTAGTTCGAGCTAGGTCAAGGCATACAAAATCGCCCAGGGTCCGCGCCAGCGATCTCAATTGCCCCCGGTTGTCCCACTGGATGTCTCTACGGTTGCTTGCCCCGACCGTTGTCCCGATGGTTGTTCTGCTGTTTGTCGCGGTGGTTATTCCGATGGTTGTCCTCATGGCCATTCGGATGGTTGTCCCGTCAGTTGTCCCTATGGTAGATCGGTCGATCGTGAGATCGATCGATAGTTCAGTGGTGAGGGGATAGTTGGTGAGACCCAACGTTCATGAGGCCGATCGGTCGATTATCTACAGATAGTGGTGGATATATACATAAACGGGGGCAACGAAGAGCAGTGGTATCGACTGGTAGATTGACAAAAAGATCGTTTAAATAATAGTGGGACCAATCAATTGCCCCGTGGTTGTCCCGCGGCTGTCTCGTGGTTGTCCCGCGACTCTCGTTGTCTCGTGATTGTCCCATTGGTGTCAAGTGGCCGTCTTGCGGAAGTCGGCCGATACATAGCCAGGCCAGTACATCGCGATGGCGATGCATTGGCAGCTAGGTGGATTATATATGCTGTGATCGTAAGATCGGTAAATGGATCATGGGACTCGAAATTGGGATGTAATCGTGATGTCGATGGGCCAGCCGATTTCATGGTAGCGATATTGGTAGACCGATAATGTGAGCGGAGGACAGCTAGATCGATACAAATATTAAAAGATATTGGTAGTGATATCGGCATCGCTTGACATTATGGCAATGGGATCGATGTAGAGACAATGATACCGTTAGAGAGGGAGACCGAAAGATAGATGCAATGGGGACGCGGCCTCGAGAAACACGCGCAAGAAACCCAACCCTGAAAATCCGCGACATTTCTTGCCCAAGGCCTGGGGTTCTTTCCCAAGGGATCCAATCGGAGAAATCCCGGGCACCCACGGCGCAAGAATTTCTTAACGATCGGGGGAAGTCAGCGCGCATCGCTGGAAACGAAGAAACCCAGGGCACCCTGACGAAAACCAAATGGTTGCTTGGTACGCGTCCCCACTGTATCGTGATCGTTCGATAAATAGACCGCGACACAAACTCGACGCCCCATCGCAATCCGGAAGCTGCGCCCATTTCGCCCCTCGAAACTCCACATCACCCGAACGGTGGCCCTACAGGTTTTTCTGTCGATATCTATATCTATGCGTCTCACTGTCTGTCCACCCATGTAGCCACTACTATGATTACAAATACAAGTATATGAATGTGTACATCGTTATTGATATCTGTCGAACTCACTCGCGCTCGATTTACCGATCTGACTATCGACTGGTCTCACTAGCAACCTACCGATCCCACTATCAATCTACAGGCAGATCTCATTGTATACCAATGGGGGAAATCATCTAGTTATCTCATTATCATTATATCAATCGATCTCGCTATGTACTGATCGATCTCACGATCTATCTGCCCAGTGACAAAGCAACCACCGGAGGACCACGCGACAACCAGGGGCAATCACGCGACAACCATGGGAAACAAACGACGGGACAACGACAAGACAACCACAGAACAGCCACAGGACAACCGGCCGACAACCACAAACCAACCACAGGACAATCAAGGGACAACTACGGAACAAACATAGGACATCCGCGGGACAATTACATATCCATCGATCTCTGGCATGTCGGTCTCACTACCAACATATATATATATATATATACCTATACGACCACCCTTCGGGTGATAAGGAGGTTGGGGGGGGGGGAGGAACCAACGTCTCACTCGATCGGTCTCACTATCGATCTCACTATCGATCTCAGTAAAGGTCGCGCTCGATCGATCTCCCTCGATCGATCTTACAATCGATCTCACTCGATCTATCTCACAATTGATCTGACTATCGATCTCACAATCGATCTCACAATCGATCTCACAATCGATATCACATTCGGTCTCACTACCGATCTCACTATCGATATCACAACCGCTATCACAATCAACGTTATCATCATCATCAACAACAACATCAACATCAACATCATCATCACCAACATCATCATAATCGGGAAACCGTCCTCATCATCAACGCCAACATCATCATCACGGTCATCAGCATCATCTGGACACTACCATCATCATCATTATCATCATCATCACCATCATCACAATCATCATCATCATCATCAACGTCATCATCATCAGCAGCATCGGGACACAGTCATCGTCATCATCATCATCAGCAGCATCATCATCGGGACACCATCATGATCACCATCGTTATCATCATCAACATCATCATCATCATCATCATCGGGGCACCATCATCATCACCATCTCATCCTCATCATCGACATCATCACCAGCATCATCAACATCATCATCAGCATCATCATCATCGCCATCATCGGGACACCATCATCATCACCAACATCAGCATCAACATCATCATCATCATCATCACCATCGGGACGCCATCATCATCAACATCATCATCATCACCATCAGAGTAATCATCATCATCGGGACGCCATACTCATCAGCAACCTCATCATCATCAACATCATCATCATCATCATCGGGACACAATCAGAATCAGCATCATCAACATCAACATCATCATAGTCACCATCATCGGGACACCATCATCGTCATCATCATGATCATCAGCATAATCATCATGATCATCATCATCCTCATCATCGGGAC